TGAGACCGCCAAGTAAAGGTATATATGTTCATCTATCTTTTACGTGTAGAGCAGCGGTGGTCTCGATAGATATCGCTTGAGCTCTTTCAAGGCCCGTTGGCATTCCGGAGTCCATGAGAAGTTACTCTTTTTCTTCAATAATGAGAAGAATCAGTGACTCTTATCGAAGGACCTCGAAATGAACCGTCCCAGAGCGGCAATGCGCCCGGTTAGCCTTTGCACGACCTTTATATTATCTAGGACCATGATATCTTCGATGGATTTGATCTTATCGGGATTTATCTCGATTCCCCGATTGGATACCATGGATACGAGGAATTTACCCAATCTAACTCCGAACGCACACTTCTCTAGGTTCACCTTCATGTTGTATTTTTTCAGCACGTCGAAGGTTTCTTGCAAGTGTTTTAAATGGCCCTCTGCTCGCAGGGACTTAACCAACATATCGTCAATGTAAACCTCCATTGATTTTTCTATTTGTTCTTTGAACATCCGGTTTACTAGGCGTTGGTAAGTGGCACCGGTGGGTTTTAACCCGAATGGAATTATGTTATAGCAGTATATGCCGTATTTAGTGATAAAGGAGGCTTTTTCCTCATCATCCATATTTGGTTATACCCGGAGTAAGCATCGAGAAAATTGAGGATCTCGTGGCCGGTAGTGGCATCGATCATGCGATCGATGTTGGGCAAAGGGAAGGAGTCTTTGAGACATGCCTTATTCAAATCCTTATAGTCTACACACATTCGTAATTTATCCCCTTTCTTAGGAACTACAACTAAGTTTGCTAACCAATTCAGGTATTTAACTTCCCGAACGGACCCTATTTTAAGGAGTTTAGATACCTCGTCCTTGATAAAAGCATGTTTGACCTCGGACAAGGGCCTCCTCTTCTGCTTGACCGTGTGGTACTTTGGATTCAAGCTTAGCTTGTGAGTGGTTATTTATGGCGGTATCCCTGTCATATTGTTATGATACTAAGCAAAACAATCTTTGTTAGCTATAAGAAATTGAATGAGTTTATTTCTGAGCTCGGGGTTTAACCCTGTGCCCAGGTATATCTTTCGATCAGGCAAGTGTTCACTTAGTATGACTTGTTCTAATTCCTCGACCGTTGATTTTGTAGCGTCGGAATCATCGGGGGCTATGAAAGACCTAGGGATTCCGTAGTCATTACCCTCATCTATCCCCCGCTCCTCCGATTCTGGCGAGGTTGGTATCAGTGATTGTTATTTGGCCCCAATTTCTACCACTAGATTCGGACCCTTCGGTACCGAGAGTGTGGATGCCAATATCACCTCATCGGATGCGGACATTTCTCTTGCGGCTGGTTGTTCCCCGTAAACTGTTTTGATTCCTTCGGGCGTTAGGAATTTCAGCACCTGGTGTAATGTAGAGGGCATTGCCCTCATGCTGTGAATCCACGGCCTTCTGAGCAGAGCGTTGTATCTCATATCCCAATCGATTACATAAAACTTGTCTTCCTGAACAGTTCCGATGACGTTCACCGGTAATGTTATTTCCCCTTTAGTGGTCTCGCAGGCCATGTTGAACCCGTTTAGGACTCGGACATCAAGTACAATCTGATCTTGTAGGCCGAGTTGTTCCACGACCCTCGATCTGATGATGTTGGCCTAGCTACCTGGATCAATCAACACACATTTAAGTCAATATTTATTTATGAGTACCGATATTACAAGTGCATCATTGTGGGGATGTGCGATCCCCTCTGTGTCTTTGTCGTTGAACGACAAGGTTCCTTCCGGTAGGTAATCTCGAGTCCGTTTCTCCCTTGTGATGGAAAGTTAGGTACGCTTCATCATCAGTCCTTAGGGGATGTCGACCCCACTGATGATCATGTTTATGATGTGCTGAGGTTCCTCTGGTTCGGTTCTTTTATTAGAATCCATGTTCCGAAAATAGCTCTTGGCCCGATCACTGAGGAATTCTCGGAGATGCCCGTTGTTGAACAACCGGGCTACTTCTTCCCTTAATTGTCAACAATCTTCCATTCTATGTCCATGCATTTGCACATACGGTTAGGATCCCTTTGGGCTGGATCAGATTACAAAGGTTGAGGCCATTTGGTATCTTTGATGTCTCAGATGGCGGACACTATAGCAGAGGCATCGATGACGAAATTATACTCTGAGAGCCTCAATGCTTATTTAGTTCCGATGGGTCTGTCGAAGTTGTTTTTGCTCATGAGTCCTCAGTTGTTCTGTTCTCGGTCATTATTTATTTCATTTATCATAGGGTTTCGCCCGGACCCACTGCTTCTCCGATCCCTATTGTATGGTTGATATCGATCCCGGTTTGATTTAGGTTCCTGATCGGTGTCTCCCTTGACTCGGTCGGTGATCCTGACGGGGTGTACGGATACGTAAGGGGTCCTAAGTTGGTCATCCTCGACCCTGATTTTTGATTGATACCGGTTATGGACGTTGGTCCAAGAGATGGCTGAATATTCTACAAAGTTCTGTTTCAACTGCTGTAAAGCCAATGAGCTTCGAATGTTGAGTCCTTAGGTGAAAGCCTGAACGGCCCAATCGTCCGCGACCGAGGGCAAATCCATCCGTTCCATCTGGAATCAAGAAACGAAATCTGAGCATCTCATTATCCCTCTGCTTTACTTTGAAAAGTCTTGACTTCATGGTCTCGACCTTTATAGCACCGGCATGTGCTTTTACAAAGGAATCTACAAGCATAGCAAACGAGTCAACAGAATTAGGAGAAAAGTTGTGGTACCATAGCATAGCTCCCTTTGATAGGGTCTCTCCGAATTATTTCAACAAGACAGACTCGATCTCATCATCTTCCAAGTCGTTCCCTTTGATGGCGCATGTATAAGAGGTTACATGCTCGTTTGGGTCGGTCGTTTTGTTGTACTTAGGGATTTTGGGCATGCGAAACATTTTGGGGATCGGCTTCGGAGTCGCACTCGGGGGAAAAGGCCTTTGAATAAATTTCTTAGAATCCAGGCGCTTCAATATCGAGGGTGCTCCTGGGATTTGGTCGGCCCTGGAATTTTAGGTTTTCACCTTTTTATCATTGGCTTCGATTTTTTTCCCCCTGTTTCGTCAATTCTTCGAGCAATTTTCGGATTTCGGGGTTAGTCCCCAATTCACTCTCGCTCATTTTTTCCGAGATTGGTTCGTTTCTGCGGATGGCTTCCAGGGGAAGCTTAGGTTCATTCCTGCTCAGTGTTCGATGTTGGTTCTGCAATTGAGATATCGCCGTCTGTTGAGCATGTAGCATTTCGAAGATCATACTCAGGTTGATCCCATCATTTTTGCCGTCGTGAGTGTTTTGGGCAATCGAATGCACTTCCCTGCGCACGCTGTTTTTGGGGTCGGTGGGCTGGTTTGTGTCGATGGCCATATGCAAACATGCGTCGATGGGAACCACCACCGGGATTCTACCAAGACCGACCGGTGTTGCCTCGTTACCGAGCGCTGCATTATTGTTCCTGCCGTGGTGGCCGGATTCCGTGTCTATGTTTAGAGTGAAAGATTGTGGGTTTGACATTTCGATCCTGACGTGAAATCAGAAACACTTCAAAGAACAAGTGTAAAATGGGGTGTGTTATGATGATTCGTATCAAATTGCAACTATTATTCTTAGCCCCATGGTGGGCACCGAACTGTTTACTCTCAAAATCGGATAACAATTGAATTTGTTAGTGGTTTAAAGGATATGCAGATTAACTTTATACTTAACGATAAATTAGATTGTAATTGAAATAAATAACGATAAATAAACTGCAAATCACACGAATCAGATGATTTCAACCTAGGCAACCACCCTCAAGTTGAATGTACTTTGATTGATACCAAGATACCAAAAAATAAGAATTTAGAGGATAACGATAATGTATTTCTTATGAGTGTATGTTACAATATGTTTCATAAATTGTGTGGCCCCTTTATATAATAGAGGAACCTACTTTTAAGCCATTAACCTATTATTCCATAAAAGGTAAAAAAAATCCTTGATTTGTTGACCGTTGGTCCATTTTTTGGTATGTTCCCTGATTTCTGCCGTAATGCCTGGTTAGTTGCGGGAATTTTGGACCTCTGCCGGATAAGCTGGCAATATATTTCTTGAAACCGTTATGACCGGGACCGGTTATGACCTCGATAAACTCGAAGGCAAGTCTGGTGGTTCCGGTGGCTAATTTTGGTAAGGCAGAGACCGATCTCCGGGATTTTATCACCATCTCTCGATCCCAAATTATCGTGTTGGATGCTCGATCAAATCCTGAGTTCGATTTTACCCGTATACAATGTTCACTGCTATCCTAAACAATGTTGAAGCCGTACTGAACTGGACATTCTAGCTAATTAACAGCTTCCTATTTTTCATCATTCTCTGGTTGTCCCTATCCAACTGAACTGGACGTTCTAAAATTTATTGCAATCTGCTCTTGATATAATTTTCCGTATCCGTTTCAATTCAGATTATACATTTCGCTTATCAAAAGTCTAACTTTATGAATTTTGACCTAACATTTTAAAATATACTATATTTTATTTATATTGACATGAGAGAAATTATAACTTGTAGTCGTACTTTTCGTATAGTTGAACTAATCTACTTTAGTTTTAAAGTTTAGTTGAATTGACTTTCGATAAGCAAAATGTGTCATCAAAATTGAAAAAGAGGGAGTAATCGATCACCCTTTAACACCATAGATAAAATATCTTCTCCGTGAAATTCTTTCTACTGTTCATTTTAGCAGTCCAGTAAAACGATTTCCTGTAATGTAATTATCCTCATTCTTTCAGCTTCAGCCATGCCAGTCTGGACTTTTGCCTCCGAGGTATGGCAGGGCAGTAGATGTAATCATTTTTATATATAAATATTGGGTACTATTTTCATACTTTAAAAAAATGTCTTCTATTCCATAATAGTGTTCTATATATTTTACCAGTTTTCTTTACATCCCTGTAATCTGAGGCGGCATTGGTAGACATCTTGGTTAGCTTCAAAAGCATCAATTCAGAAGCAATCATGGTGCCTAGAACCAGTTGAAAAGATAGAAGTTCTCAATAGGAAACGTACAAAAAAGGATTAGCAATCAGAATTTGCGAATTCACAGGAATTCTGTACAGAGTTGCTAAAGCTTTCCTCACCAGCTTGCGCCCCTGACTAAATTAGGAATAGTAAATGAATGCCAAGCAACATTGGATAAAAACCATGATTTTCAAAGACTAATCGGATCAAGTCTGGTCATCTGAGAATCGGTTCACTGAAACAAAAACGGAAGGCCAAGCACCTTCCTCTCTTCACCAAAATCTCAGTGATGGCCCTTTCTAAGAGCTGAGAAAAAGCTACCAATTGATTTGTCCTTCTGTTTGTCCTCTCCATCACCCCCGACCTATTTTTTAAGCATAGAAAAACCAGGTTCAAAGGAATGAAAAAGCCTTAACAAAATGAAGCTTATATTATGCAAATGCCCAACCTCCCTAGTTAGATGCTGCAGAATATCCAAAATCTCCGAGAAATCAGGTCTTTGAGTTGGGTCTTGCTGCCAGCATTTCTCAAGAAGTTCAGCAAGCTTTGGATGAGTGTCCTTAGGAATTGTTGGCCGTAGACCCTGATAACCATGAGAAACCAAATGTGAGGTGTTAGTTAATGGGGAATATATCACTAGTACTAGAGACGTCAATGAACTATAATGCTACCTGTTGCACCACACCTATTGCTGCTTGTAATGGTGTTAAGTACGCATATGGAATCTGCTCCATCGCACGACATGAAAGTTATTTTGGTGTTAAAGAAATAATATGTGAGCATAAATAGATGCAAAGCAAAACTTACTTCAAAAAAAAAAAAGAATGCGAAACTTACTTCTCCAGTCAGAAGTTCCCACAGCACTACACCAAAGCTGAAAACATCGGCCTTGTGGTCATATGGTTTGTGTTCAATTACCTTCAACGAATAAAAAACATTTTAAACATGAAACTTGGATGCTGCAGGATGGTTAAGCACAAAATTGGGCCAAACGCTTTGCTGAATAGAATGTTGGACTGGGATGACACGAGAATTCTGTAGTATTAAAGGGAAGAGAAGCAAAAAACCATTAAACCAAGAGTTCCCATTTAAATGCTTAATATTGTAGAAACCCGATCTATCTGCATGGTAAACCGTACACAGAATCCTGCGATGCATATTACTGATGACAACCTAAGTAAAATAACTCTCGTACAAGGTTATCAAAAGCGCCTTGTGCTTAAAGTGTCCAAGGTGCAGCAGGGTGCAGCAAACGAACACAAGGCCAAAGACACCACGAGGTCTTAGGTTCAAATCCCAGTGGAGACGAAAACGTTACGTTATTTCTTCCCACCGGTCTAAGCCTCGGTAGACAGAGTTACCTGGTACCTGTACTAGTGGGAGATAACAGGTATATGCTGGAATTAGTTAAGGTGCGCACAACCTGACCCCGACATCACCGTCATAGAAAAAAGAGAACACAAGTCCCAAGCACTGCCTGTAGATGACAACCAGACTTCACAGAGTGTGGAAACAAAATCTAAGGATAAAAGGCAAAATTCATAGAGCAACATATTAAAAGCTCCTCATGCTTGAAGCAAAGAAGCCTGAGGCGTTTCAAAGTAAAAGTCATATCAGCTTGAAGGGGACCATTACGCTTATTTTATTGTGGCGACAAATCTAAGCACGCGGATAAAAGCATAATTGATGGAGCAATCATGCATCTTGTCAGCAAGAAAACCAAAGAATTGGAATCATTAGTTTCAACTGAATTGAGGATGTACTGCATAAAATTAAATTCAGATCTCTGCACCTCAGGAGCCATCCATCTATATGTTCCAGTTTCTGCAGTCATCACCCCAGTTTGAACCTGCACTCTCGCAACCCCAAAATCACCAACCTTAACAACCTGTTCAGTAGAGGATGGATCTTAAAGTCAGAGTGAACATTCTGTGAACAAAGCAATTACGCAAAAGGCAACTCCTACCAGCAGCAATCTATAGGTGTTGCTGGGTTATTTTATCAAAGTTCATCAATAGATTTCCTTGGAAAGCAAAAACTGGTGATGTAGACATTAACAAGAAGGTTAACTCAATGTGCTATTCGCACATTCCCATCTTTCACAATATGAATCAACTTAAATTGCCACCGATCAAGCTTTAATGCTGTTAATATTATTCAACTAATATTTTTAAAGGACTCAATGAATAAGTGGACCTTGCAATTTAACATTCCCATCATCTTTATTTGGTATTTCTTCTAAAGATTTAAATACACAAATTTTGATTCTTTAATTTGACATCAAATAGTTTTTAGATGTTTTCATCCACATCAATCAGGCATTTCAGAATAGAAATAGCCTCCTAAAAGGGTCCTGAGCACTGAAAAACATTGATGGACTTTTAACTCATACAAATCTCCATATTTGTTATATACTCTTGGACTCCCATAGCCTAATCATATGACACAGTTTTCCCCTGTATTTTGCCGGGCTAAATGCATGTTGACATTGATTTCCCTACAGGTTTTAATTGGGCATAAATTTTGCATGAAAATGGATATACTGGCCCGAAGATAGCTTAGTAACAAATGAAATAATACCCTAGACTCCAAAGAAAAAAACTTTACGACTACTGGACAAGCTTTTTAAGAGTCGAGATCCAGCTCGGACTTACTCCATGTTCATCCATCAAAAGATTAGCAGTCTTCAGATCCCGATGAATTATGTTATTCTGGTGCAGATAACTCATTCCCTTAGAAACATCAACTGCAACCTTCAGGAGAGTAGGAAGCTTAAATGCACCTCTTTGTTTGTGCAAAAAAGTATAGATGCTTCCTCTGGACATGAACTCTGATCAACAAAATTATGAAAAGCACCTTGTCAATTATGTGAAGCAGGATAGACACCCAAAAGTAATAACAATAAGCTTCCATTCAAGTGTAATAGTGTGAGTAGAAGATTAAAAATTTAGAAAATAAATAAAGCATGCCTTATAAAGCAATCAAATAATGTATCTTCAGGTGAACACTATGTAACATTAATCAACAGAGAACAAACAGTTCTCCAGGCTATTAACAACATAGTAATTCAGTTCAAATACATAAAATCTTGAAATATACCAGTCACGATGCACAGGTTCGGAGGTCGTGTGCATGCCCCTATAAATTGAACAACATGTTTGTGCCGAATTTTCCTAAAAGAGGCAAACAAACAAGATAAAATCTCGAGCAGTGGGAATACAAAAATTGATGAAAGAAACAGGAAATAGGAAGCTGGAAAGATAACATAATTATCAATAGTGAAAATTCAAATCTACATGCACATATCCACAACTTTTAAAGTTTGTTACTATTTCCAAGACTGAGTGTGTTTGGGAGAACTCAGCCCCTTGAATTATGTGACAGTTTTTTTTTTATCTGAATAACTTAATGCCACTAAGAAACAAACAAATAGCTTAATGCCACTTATCGGAGAAATACCTAGTAACTCAATACAGAATAAAGGAAACAAGATCGAATTAGGCAGAGGGAGTAAAATATTGCAAAAAAATTCTCTAGTGGTAGAGAGCAAATTTTTCCACCAGAGTACAGCTATCTCTAGTAGCAGCAGAAAAGGCATCCTTCAAACACAGTCTTTAAAAGGATGGACAGGATTCTATCTGATACATGCAAACAACAGTGAGGTTGTCCTGAAAGGGATTCTCAACCATGATAGTACGACCGACGCACCTCATTATAAAGACCTCCTGCGAGAACTCTTTTACCATATCCATATTCAAATGTTCTGGCTTGAGAACTTTTATAGCCACTTCCTGGCTACAGTATGTGCCTTTGTACCTGCAAAAGACACAGTGTAAATCTACAGACTAAACAAACTCAACTAGAAAGCAAGATGTGGATTGTCGGATCATACAGATCTCCAAATGACCCAGATGCAACTTTGTTTTCAAATTTCAGCAGGCGGATATCAATTTCCCAGTCATCAGATCCATCATTAGGTATTTTTACACTTTCAGAACCTGATTCAGATGTTTGACCTTGCTCGTGGATTGCAAGCTGGATACATGGTGTTTGCTCCTGAAAAACATAACCAGAAGATCAAAACACTGAGACCATCTGATGTTCAGTATGATAATCAAAATCTAGAAGAATAAATGACAGAGAAAACTTGCTTCTGAATTAGAACCTGCCAGAGCATGGATTCTAAACAGGTTCATGCAGATATCAAATAAGAAAAAATAAATAGTATAATTTTAGCCCATCTTTTATTGCCTCCTTCTTTCAATCACATATTCCAAGAAAACAGTTTCTTCAAAGCTCCAACTAATGTTTCAAGCTGCTTAGAGCACTTCAGCTATTAGCAGACGCCAACGTGTAGATCAGTACAAATTTAGGAAGGTTTATCATCTTTACATTAAAAGAACGCAAGTATATCAAGGACACCACATAAAAGACTCAAAAACTGAAAAGCAAGAAAATGAGCTACCTAACAAATTTTCACATGTTACAGATCATTCTTTTTCTTTCTTATATCATATGGTATAAGAGAGCTGCGAGAGAAGCTAATACGGCTATTAGCAATGCTCAAGGGAAAACCCTAGATTGCTTACACCAAAAAGTAGGACATGAGAAAGGAAAAAGATAGGCTAAATACCTAGATAGCCGCTGAAACTTGGCACGTTTTGTAAGTTAGACACTCAAACTTAGCCAGTGACCAGATAGACACCTCTACTTGGAGGAGGTGCCTCTTGAACACTTGTGTCCGTAAGACCATCGGCGTGAAACTTACTCGCCGTTGACATGTCAAATGAACCAATTAGTGATTGGCTCCTTTCATTTTCAAAATTACAAATTATGATTTTTAAAAATTACAATTGAAGGAAAAAAAAAGAAAATCCCAAAATAACCCCCATTTGTTATTTTTTATCATCCAGACCTTCCCCATCCCCGCTTCTTCGCCCAAAACTAGAACCCCCTC